AGGTAAGACACCAAAAAAACTAGATAGCATTTGTTGCCCTCAATGCAGAGAAACTAATGCAGATACTTTAAAGTGACAGAGGCCAATAGGAGAAGGCGACCAGGAACTAAAGAAAAGGTTAGTTGATGAAGAATTAATTTAGAAGGTAACACACATGTACAGGAAAGCAATGTAAGTCAACTCCCTGTAAAGCTATCCTTATCTCAACTAGCAAAATCCCTTGGTCCTTCCTATTATTGCTTATACTATCTCTTCAAAAAAATTAGAGATAAGGGCAAAATAGTTTCTGCCTGGTAGTGAGGGGGTAGCAGGGGAGAGGGAGGGGTGGGGGGGTTAAGGGAGGGGGTGGGGAAATGACCCAAACATTGTATGCACATATGAATAAAAAGAAAAAACAAAAAAAAGCAGAAACAAACAGGGCTAACAGAGTGGCTCAAGAAGTAAGAGCACCTGCCTAGCAAGATGAAGCGCTAAGTTCAAACCATAGTGCCACCAAAACAACAAACAACTCCCACACCACTATTCAAACAAGAAACAAAGGAAGAAAGATATCCCAAAAGCATTCAATTAAATTTAACCATACATATTAGCATCAATTTTTCTCTAACTTTCTCCTCCTAACACAACACCAATTTTTAAGGAAAACCATGAAAAATATGAGTACTATAAAAATTAAGGCTACTATTGACTACCATGTACAACAAGAAAGGCTTTCAAATAACAACCTGCAGTAGGAGAGTGAAAGACAATGTATTCAGCTATAACTAGCAATCAACATACTAGGAAAATAAGGCTAGCAATTTGTAAGAGTGTTCAGTTAATGAATTGAATCATGGTGTCTCATAGTTAGAAATGAATGACACACGTAGACTCTATTCCAGAAAACAGGTCACTATGAGGAAGTCATAGTTAAATAGCCAAAAAGAAACAAAAAGCTTTGCTATAGAAAATGATGTAAGGATCAGATTTGATGCTGGGTGCCAGTAGCTCATGCCTGTAATCCTAGCTACTCAGAAGACAGAGATCAGGAGGACTGAGGTTCGAAGCCAGCCTGAGCAAATAGTTTGCAAGACCCTATCTCAAAAAAACCCTTCACAAAAAAGGGTTGGTGGAGTGGCTTAAGGTATAGGCCCTGAATTCAAATCCCTATACTGTAAAAAAAAAAAAAAAACAGATTTGAGACAAATTAACCATCCACTTGACATAAAATACTTGATTACACTGTCTAGTAGCTTCTAGGGGATGGAAAGAATAACCTGATGGCCTCTAATCGATAAATCAAAGAACATGTACTAGTTTTCATTTATCATTGCTACTTGAAAAAAAAATCATCAAATTTGCTTTATAAAACTTTTGAAAAACAAAAAATGTCAAAGATAGGTAGAAAGATAATTTGGTAAAATGTATTTGAGGAAAAGGAAAATTCTACAACTTCACCTCATATAAGTCTATAAGTCATACCTCAGAGTTGGAACCACCATCATAGGCACTGGTAGCCAATCGAGCCAAGTTACACAAGTGCTGAAACAGGTTCAAGCCAGTCATGCTAATCGTTTCAGGTTTTAACTGGGGCATCTTGAGAAAAAAATGTTAATGCTAGTTTAGTGTGGCAAGTTAACATTTAATTTTATCAGATGTAAGTAGACAAAATTAATTTAATTTTACTAAACACATTATAGAAGGAATAGTATCAGCTCAGATTTCTAGTGATAATTTGAAATTTTAAATATACCATTTTAACAAAAATTCTATTCAGGCATCTATTCTGTCTGATGTGTTTCAATTACCAGTATGAACGCAAACCCAAATGAGAGGAAGAGAATAAAAACATTTTGTCTTCTACTGCAAACCTACTCCTGTACATACTGATTAAGTGTATTGTAGCTAAGCATACAGATTGTGTTAAAGGGCTTGAAATTTAAGATAACTGAAGTTCTCTTTGTAGCTTGGCCTTGGATCTATTAAGAGATTTAGATTATATGTTCAAAAACTCATTCATATATACACTACCACACAGATAATGTGAGGGCTTGCAAAAGAACCTTAATAATTTCAAAAAACAAGCATTTTTTAAAAATGTCCTGTGTTTTGATCACTGATGTTCAACATTCAAATGGGTATAGTTCAGTTAGGAAAATTACCACTTGAACCTTCTATGGTATCTGGTGATGGAGAACAAGAATTTAAACATTTTTTCTACCATAACGATGCTTCCTTAATGCCTTCCCAGGGAGCTAACAAATCTGGAAATTGGCTTATATGTGCCCAGAAGACTGGTTGAAACTACAGCCATTTTAACTAAGGACAAGTCACAAAATTCAGCTTTCACACTTGGCGTATGGACCTCACCTATGAAAACTGTACAATGTTATTAATGATTTTTAAAAATACCCCCAAAACTCCAAATTTATAATTAATATTTCCCTCAAAAGTTATTGCAATTATTGTTCACTTAAGTACTTCTCTAAAGAATAGAACATTTTTAAGTATAAGTGTTCATTTAATTAAAAACACTACAAAGGACATAAAAGCAAAATCTAAGTAGCAAAAAATTATATAAAGACTACTAAAAAACAGTTGATTTACTTTAAAAAAAAAAAAACCTATGTTGCAAAAGACAAAAAAAAAAAAGAACATTTCTAGAGTTCACATTTCAAAATATTAAAAGGAAATAATAGAAAAAAATAATAAAAACAACAAAACTGCCAGGAAATAAAATTACCTTTTCCAGGAAAAGATGTTTATAGGTTTCCATTCCCATAGCATGCTGATCTTTACTTCGAACTTGATTTAAAAACCAATGGAGTGCATCATCATAGCACTCAGAATCTTCTACTAAACAATGCCACAAGATGTCAACTTGCTCTAAACTTAACCCTAGATAAAAATAAATTTTATAGTTCTGTAACTATGCAGAAATTATATATCTCCTCATATACATATATATATATACATATATATATATATATAAACACAAGTAGTTTATTGATATAGAATATGTATAAAGTATTTACTATCTTAGTAACAATTCCTTCTGCCTTCCTACTACTTAGAAAACTCTGAATTGGGGTACATACATTTTAGACCTAATTCAAAGTACTAGAAGCACCAAGAGCCAAAAATATAAGGGATATAGCGGACAGCACTTTATAAAAAGTATTTCATGAGAAATTTTATTAACTTATGCTTTCAAAATGTAAATATAACATGTATCACCTATGAGCACAAAACTCAAAGTAGTCTAGAAGAGTCAATTCGTCTAAAAAAAATCATTTTCCCTAAAATCTAAAGATATCATTATTTTATAATAAAAATGATTGGGGAAGGTAATCTTAAAATTTTGAGGAATTCGTCTTCTTTTTTAGTGGTACTGGGGTTTGAACCAGGGTCTTGTGCTTGCTAGGAAAGTAGGCAGGCACTCTACTTACCACCCTAGCCCTTGAGGAGTTAGTAGATACAATATTCAAAGGCCATTCTCTGAACATAGAAGATAAATAATAACAGTACTTATTATATTATTAATTACATTATCAACAATAAACAGTATTTCTATGGACTATGAAAAAGGGACCCTTAAGATGACTAAGCAAAACTGCAGGGAAATGACTGCCTAAAATGATAAACAAAAGCTACACATCAGAAGACACAATTAGTTGAGAAGTCATACTAATGAGGTAAAATCTGATTGGTACTTTGATCCAAGTACTAATAGAGAAACACAGATTAAAATGAAACACAAAATATTACCAGCAATCACAAGTCTGAATATCTGGGGGAAAAAGTCTGAATGGATAATAAATCAGATAATCCAAAAGGTTTCTCAAGTAAGGTTCCAAAACTCAGGGCAGTAATCTAGATTTTGAGGGGACATGTAGGTGTGGTAGAATCACCCCAAACTCTTTACTGAAAAAGTAGGTAAAATTCCAAAATATGGAGAAACACCTCAGAAAATAATTCACCTAAGCAGCAATATTAGTCTAAAAAGATTTATGTCACTAAATGTGGTAGCTCACACCTGTTATCCTAGGCCTCAAGAGGCTGAGACAGAAAGGTAAGTCCAAGGCCAGCCTAGACTACATAGTGAGACCTCACCTCAAAAAAGGTTTTATTTCAGAAAAAGTATCCTATCAGTCTCTCAAAGAAATAGCCTATGTGCAGATTATTCTCAGAAGAACTTGGCAGATTACTTATTCTCAGAACTTGTGCCCTTAGCAGTAAACATAAACAAACTAAAACCAGTGTTTAGTACATAACTTAAATTCATTAGGTTAAAAAAAAGAGCAAGATAAATCCAGAAAATTGAATCCTCAAAATAAAAAGTATTCCGGTTAAGCACAGTCAACCATATAATAAAACAAAATATATTCACAAGTGGCTGAACTACTAATTTACATTCAATAAGTAACAGAAGCTTATGTTATTCTAAAATGTAACAAACTATAGTTATTGGTATATTGAAAGTCTATGTCAGTATATTCAGAGAAATTACATAGAACTGGAGAAAACACATTATAGATAACAGCTACTATGCCAAAGGAGAAGTACGATTATCATGAGGGTTAAGTAGTTTTTGGTTTTTCTTTATCTGGACAGTAATAATTGTGAACGCAAGAGAATCAAAACTATGTAAAATAAAAAAATACAGCTTAGCAGTGATTTGAAGTTATATTGTTTTGATTTTGCATCTCACTATATAAGACAGGTTCTTACATTTTCATACTCTCTATTTCTTTTGTGTTATAAGGCATAAGGCAGTACAATAAATGACTTAAATAAAGTGAAACAAATTTTCTATCAAAGCAGGTGCTTTGCCTTGTTTTCAGAATCTGTTTTAATTGCAATGTTAGTGGCCTTTGTTGCTAATAGTTTTAATGTGAAGAAGAAATTACAGACTTAAAAATGTAAGAGAGCTGCATGCCAGTGGGTCACGCCTGTAATACTTCTCAGGAAGATCATGGTTCTAAGCCAGCCTGGACAAAAGCTCATTTTGTAAGACCCTATCTCAAAAAATCCTTCACAAAAAAGGCTGGTGGAGTGGCTCAACATGTAGACCGTGAGTTTAAAACCCAGCACCACAAAAAAAAATAATAATAATAATAAAAAACAGTAAGAGAAATACAGGGTGTATTCTCAAATGCAGATATGGACTTGAAGAGAGTGACAGTGACCATTCACAGGCCAGCAAAGACAATGCCAATTTGACTATATCAACTACAGCAAAAGAAAGTGTCCACCTAATAGGTGAGGCTTGTATGACATGGACACACAGAAAAAGAAGGATGTGGAAAGTAAACGATGGTATCATCGGTGCAGCAAGAGAAGATTAAATTTGGTCAACAGAAATCAAGCTTCTTCCTCTCTTGTAAAAACATCTAACATGAAGAATATGATCTGGTTCACACTGTTCAATATTCCAGATCAATCTTTACTTTACAAAGATTAGGCTGGGGCATGGTGGCACATGTCTGTACTTCCAGCTACTAGGAGGAAGAGATAGGCTCACAGTTAAGAGGTGAACCCAAACCAAAAAATTAAGTAAATAAAAATAAAATAACAATAAATACACACACACACACACACACACACACACACTATTAATGAGGTCATATCTTGAAAAACAAGCTGGGTAGGGCAGTACATGCTTGTAATCCCAGCTATACAAGAGGCAGAGATAGGAGGATACAGACCAAGGTTGGCCATAGGCAAAAACAAGTCCCTACCTGAACAATAAAGCAAAAAGGCTGAAGGCATGGCTCAAGTGGAAGAATGCTTGCCTAGCAAGCACAAGGAACTGTATTCAAAACCCTAGTAATGCCAAGAAAAAAGAGAGACTGTGAAAATAAAACTGAGGAAAATCTTATTTAAAACATAAATAAGAATCTCAATTAAAGTGTCTGAATATTGATCTAACTTTTAAGTATGCTGAGAGTAATTACTGCAAAAACCTGAAGTCATGGGTAAATGTAAATAGACTATTCAGAGGGTCAACACAGATCTTAAAACATATGGATTAAAAGTCTTAATAAAAAACATTCTTACTGAAATGATCAGGTGATCCCAGAGTTGAAAATACACAAGTCAAGAACTGAAGTCGAACTTGAACTTCGGCACTATGGCTATACCTATAAAAAATCATTAAAATAATTAAATGAAAGATATTATTTCTTAATTTTAGATATTTATCAATTCTAAAAATAACATACTAAAACAGCAGAAATCCATTATAACAATTTATAGCTACTACTTAAGCACATAAAGGGCTGGGGATGTAGCTCAAGTAGTAGAGCACTTACCTACCAAGCGCAGGGCCCAGGATTCAATTCCCAGTACCACTGCCAAAAAAAAAAATACTAATACTCAACAGTGAAACAAAAGAAATAATGTCATTTTAAAATGATGTAATATGTACATAAATTAGAAGTGAGCAAATTGAAAAACCACATCTCTATCTAAAACTCACATTTCATACCACTGTCTCTATAGTGATAATACTATATCCCTTAAATAATAAACTTTAGCATAATTTCCATAAATCTAGTTCATAAAGAATATAGCTGATACAAAACTGGCATTCTGAATGTTACTTTACAATGGACAGTTTCAATGATTAACATAAGAGCTGCTATGAAAGCTTGTCAAATAGGTAAGCTCACATGGGAATTATTTGTGAGCATTTCCAAAGAACAGCATTTAAGAGGCAAGTATGCTAGTCTACAGGGGAAGAAGAGGAGAAGATGGGTCTGAGAAGGTAGATAATGTCCAGATTTTGGCCAGTGAAAATGCCAGAAAGAAGAGTTTGGCATTGTTCTACCTGCAAAAAGAAGTCACTGAAGTGTGCCAGATGCTGGTAGCTCCTGCCTATAATCCTAGCTAACTGACAGGATTGGGAGGATTGTGGTTCAAGACCATGCCAGGCAAAAAGTTCACAAGAACCCATCTCAACCAGTGGCTGGGTACCATAACAGGTGTTTGTCATTCCAATGACAGTGGGAACTACAAAAAAAGAGGATCACGAGGGCTGGGGAAGTAGCTCAGTGATTGAATGTTTCCCAGGCACACATAAGGCCCTGGGTGTGATCCTCAGTACCACAAGAAAAAAAAAAAAAAGATCACAGTTCAGGTCAGTCTAAGCAAAAAACAAAATATACACACAATATTCACAGTAAAAAAAAACGACTTTTTGTTATCACTATCATCATTATCCATGTAAAGAAATAAAAGAATATGAAAAAAGCAATCCAAGTCTCCAAGTATTACATGATTGGGAACAACAGTGGTACCCTGAAAGACACAGCAAAATCTGTAGAAAAAAATTTTGGGGGAGAATAGGAATTAATTCATGTTTGGAGATGAATATCTATGCATTAAAGCTTTATGACTTTTGGACTATTTCTCTAAGTCCAATAGGTAGATGTTTTCTACATGAAGTTTTTCTCTCCGAACACTACAACTCCTTCTCTTATTCACTGATGTGCTTGGACTAACACTGAACCAGTTTTGTTGACGTAGACATCAATCCACACCAACCATTTCATCAGTAGAAACCTGATCTTCACAAGTATCTTCTAGGAATTCAGGCATACACGTTCTTAGAAATTCTGGAGTGTTGTTTTTGAGGTCTTTTTTTTTTTTTTGATGGGACTAGGGTTTGAATTCAGGGCTTCATGTTTGTAAAGCAGGTGCTCTTTTCACTTGAGCCCTCACGTTCTTAAGTTTCAAACACCATTATACTACTACTAATGGTGACTTTTACCAATCATTATCCAAAACCACTGATTTAAGTGACTCCAGAGAATATTTTTAAGTATATTATGCAATATTAGTCAGTAATACACCCAGTTTTAAAATCTCCCATACACGTCCTAAAAATTTTAATACTAGTATCTAATTTTAGTAGTTGAGAGAAATATTTTTAATTAAATACATCCTAAATATATTTTTGGAAGCAGATATTTACAAATTTTAGAATAAAAGCTGTAACACATTAAGACAAGGATACTGATGATTTCTTATAAATGTTTTCTTATAATTCCTAAAAGCAATGACTTTCAGTAAATTTTAGGTTATCAACCCCTAAAATTTATGTAAGCCAATTTTACTAAGAGTTGCAAGAGAAATGGCATAAAAATCTTTAAACTTAAAAAAAAAGTCTATTTACCTTTCTTTCTCTTACAATTTTATACAAACAAAATTTTCTGTTACATTTATGTACTATATGAAAGAAGTAGAAAGTACTGGAAATTTATCTTTCAGAGGAAAGGCAATCCCATCTCATTTAACCTAGATTAGGGGTACTCACAGTGCATGTTTTTGTCTTCCTTCTCTGACAGCTTGAATGTAGTATACTAGATTATCAAAGAAAAGCTTCATCATGTTCAATTCTTTTTCTGCCCACCTGGTAAAATTTTTAAAATATTAATTTTAGTAAGGTCAGGGTAAAAGAATAAAATATTTATTTAAATAAAATCTTCAAATATAAAATTTTGAGTTATCAAAAATTTACAAGCTTTATTTACATATGAATAGTGAAAAGGTATAAAGTAATGCTTTTTTTTTTAAGGTGAGAGTCTATTTTTTTTTTTTATTATGCTGGGTGGGGGTACATTGTGGCATTCACAAAAGTTCTTCCAATATATCAAATATATTATAGTTGAACACACTCCCTCCATCATTCTTCTTTATCCTCCCTCTCCTCCCAAAAGCAATGCTTCCTAATTTTATGGATTTGAAGTGTCCTTGTTCTTAAATCTCCAAATATTCAATACCAGTGAAGGGGATAAATGCCTGGCACAGTGTTATTATAAATATCAGTTAATATTGAAAATAAAATAGCATTCTATAAGAATAAACTATGTGCCTTATTTGTTAAGTCACAGAATTTACTATCTCACCAGGCATATAAAAGGTACATGATACAAGTTTATTTACTAAATTGTTTTTACTTGCCAATTGCTTCAATAGCAACCTTTTTTATTAAAAAAAAAAAAAAATTTTTTTTTTTTTTTT